TTGTAAGTATATAGTTGTAAGTGCAATGCCAATGCAGTTATTCCCGGAAGTGCTCGATCGGCAAGTTTGATGATTTTAATCTATGAATGTTGCTTCCAGATTTTGCTGATATTATTTGGGCTTCCAGCTATTCCACAGTTAGTTCTTGTGCTTTTGGATGAGTTCTTACACTAGCAAGTCAAATAGATGCTACATCGACGAGTCAAATCCTAGGCAGTTAGGTTATGCTATCAGTATAACTTTGGAGTTTGGACATAGTACCCCAACCCGGCCCCATCCTTTTTTTTGCAGCTTTTCCCAGCATAATTTGTTATAAATTGCAGCCTTACTCAATCATATATAGATATGCCTATTAACTATTGCATAGGAATTCCTGCTTTTAATCTGAGTGTACTGTGATGCTTGAACATTTGATTTTTCTTACTTAAATTCTCACTTGCTCAATATTTTTATTTTCCTAAAATGAGCTCAAGCGGTATGATTAATACTATGCATAATGCATTTGGCTGATCTGTTTGACATAACAGATATTGATAACTTCTCTCATTCAATGGCCTTTCGATACAGATCCCGTTCTCTTCACGGACTACTATGGCGGTTGCTAGCAGCCCATCACGTTTCGCGACTGCAGGGAAACAAGGGCTCCCTTCAAACGCGCCCTCAGTTTCCATATCAGCAACAAATTACATCTCATCCACTCCTTCTCCAGCTGCAGTTGCATCAGGTGGTGGCACACCAGCATTTGGGGATGCCTAGCTCCTAAATCTTGAACTAGGAGGGAGGCATCCTGCACCTCCTTTTGTGTTTTAGGTATATCTCTATTGGTACAAACCAAATCCAAACAATCCTTCAGATATTTCAAGGTAAATATGACACCTTACCATCACATCTACTATACTTCTTGATGTAAGATACTGATGGTGTAATGTTGGGTTTTGTAACTAAAGTTGTAACAAGTTATCATTTCAAGTTCAAAGTTCTTGTGACAGATACTTGTGCATTCAAAGGAGTGTAAGTGCTTGTTTCTCTTATGCGTCTATTTGTTTTTTGCTACTGTGCTTTAAGTCTCTCGTCTTGTGGCCCTTGTAAATGGGTGTATTAGCATAATTATTGAGCATATTTCATTTACATAATTAGATCGTCTTGTCATTTACATCCTCCTGTGCAAGTGTATTCGTACGTCCATACAAGTGTAAAAGTTTTGTGTGTCCATTATTAATGGAGCTAAAAAAGTTCAAAATTTTTGCAATGTTTTAGTTTAGAGTAAAATAATGGTCTTTGTGGTCTAAATGAAAGTCACATTAACATTTATTTCTGGCTTCTTACTTTTTTTATGATCTTTTGTGTAGTAAATTAGGTAATGCTCCAAGGGGCTAAATGAAACAACGGGGTTTATTTTATAGATGTAATTGCGCAGATTTTGGCCCCCAAACCCCAATGAATGGAATTGGCACTTTAGTGGATTTGCTGAAAGTGTACAAATACAAGCATTGGATATATGTGAATAAATAAACTTCGCAATTTGTTTTTTGAGTGTCCCGAAATAAATTCCATTCATTTTGTTTTAAAGAATGGATAAAAAAGATTTGCTCTCAGATTTTTCATTTTAAACATTTTTTTATAACCTGTGAAGTCAAATAATACTTATAGTTAACTAGTGTTGACGTTGTGCTCTTAGACATTCTAAATATTTAACAATATGTAAATATAATTTTATTTTATTTAATTATTTAATAATGATAAAATATGGATTTAAAAAAGAAATAATATGTGTTATATAAATAATTTTTAATGGTGAGATACATCTTTCTTGAAAAAAAAAGTTAGAGTTTTGAATTTGATGTATTAAAATTTTTATAATCTTTACTTTTAGAAAGTAGCAAATGGGAAAACGATGAATATTTTTTGTACAATTATATAAACCTTTCTTTATTAAAACTTAAAGTTTATAAAACCTTTTTTTAGATATAATACTAATTATGTACGGAGTATATAAAATCATATACTCCGTATTTAAAAAAGTGAAATGCATATTAGTATAATACTTAGAAAATAAAAAGATTATAATAATGACACTTATTTTAATTTATAAAAAAAATCAAAATAACGAACATCAAGTATAGCAATAAAAAATCAAATAATAGTCCTTTTGGCTTTATTGGAGGTACAGTTGAGAAGAATGTGTTTCTAGCTAACCTCAGCCAAGGAGTGTCAACTTTTCCTTGATCATGTTGCCTTCCAATCAAATATCTAGCTCTCATAGAATTTCTTGTTACATTGTGTACTTCCCACCAAAGATTAGCACTTTCAAAATTTTCCAGATCCCTAATCCAAAGCACACCTTCATCACAGGGTTTACAGAGATTCTTCCCAGCGAAGCCCAGGCTTTTCTTCATGCATGGTAACCCTAGCTAGAAGCATGGAGCGAGCAATTCTTAGTTGGACATCATTCTTATTCGGTATTGTGTGTTTCGAGAATTTCTTAGCGAGCATTTGAGGAAATATTCTTTAAAAAAAAGATCTTAATTTACTCCTTAACTCTATTCACGGAACCCCTCTTGTTCAGTAAAAATGAAATGAGTAGTGAAATGACCAAAAGATGTTTATTAGAAGTAATGGAACTAAAATACGCAAACATGAAATACAAACTAAAATCCATACGAAAAGAAATGATGCATGTCATCCATCCATCCAAGAGTCCTCGGCACCCGTCTTTGAATAACGCCATGTTACAAAAATGAAAATAATGTGCCTTAGTTACACATGTTTAACATAGGGGTACACCAACATGGGGTACCCCATTTGTACACCAAGCGAACACAAACACACACAGACACAAAATGTCTGGCACATACATTTTGTGTCTGTGCGTGTCTGTGTTGGCTTGGTGTACAAATGGGGTACTCCATGTTGGTGTATCCCTAGCATTGCCCTAACTGAATTGTAGAGTTACATCATCCCAAATGATGCAACTTCGTGACACAATTTCAATTGTGACACTTACAGTGCTCCGTTCATAAAATTAATGATACTTCCCCTCATAAGACCCCACCCTCCCACAATTGCACCTTGCACCTTATAAGTTTTATTGACTTTTTAGGTCAAAATTTAGACTAAAATTTCAACCAAACTTAAATAGCGCAATTGCTAGGGGGTAGTGAGGGGGAGGTCAATGGAGGAAGGAGGTGTATGAGGGGACCTATGACGAGTAAAACTGTCAATTTTGACGAATAGGACACCGTGTGCCATAGTTGAAATAATGTCTCAAAATTACATCATTTGGGATGATGTAACTCCACAATTCCTCTACTTTCTTATATACTCCGTATCTTCCTTTTATATGCAAAACCAGAGATATTCAAAATTTCTTCTCAGTACAAAACACTAGTCTTCGAGCGAAGTACAATTCTCAAGTGTAACATTACCTTTGAAAGTTTCATGAAAAGCACAAAGAAATAACAAATATGTTTGGAACCCTTGCGGAAGTCTCAAAACATAAAACCAGAATTTGAGCTTAAAAACTCATTTAGGCTGAGAATCACTACCAAAAACCAAAGTTTCGTACATTGCAATGCGTACTTCATCCAGAGGCAGGAAGGGAAAATGAGAAATATACAAATTCAACTCGATTTAGACTTGAAGCCAAGAAGCAACATTATCCCATCATCAGACATTCATCATATCGCCGTACTGGCGCATCAGAACGATAGAGCCAGCAAAGAGTCCCAATGCACGAAGCACTTTCTGCAAATGACATTGAATGTGGCAATATAAATAACATAGGAAGGAAACATTTTATAGGACTGTGCTACAAGAACAATCCAAAATAAATTGCTGCATAATAAACAGGAAGAATGAAGAGAACACAGAGCTTGAAATATATTAAAAAAACATGTTTAAGAGATGACACTATGTGTGCAAAGTAACATCATAGCCACAAAACATTTTGAATTTTGGAATTACAAGTAAAAACAGTTTAGCAGGATGAGTTGGCCAGTTATTGTGTACACATATTATGCAAAATCATTCCTCTTGGGAGACCACAAACTCCACGTGGAACCACTAGCAAAGACCCATGCTACCTCTCAAAAAATATGTTTCATTCAATGGAAATTACTTTACATTATACAAAAACAGTTCAGGAATCCGATGATGATAAAAATCTTTGGAAAAAAGTCATAGGTATATTAAATAAATGTTTAAAAAAATTACAAATAACCCTGTGATAAACATCTAGTTGATCTTTACTATTCTTGGTTACTCCCTCCGTCCCTTTTATCTTGTTCCTGTTTTGACTTGGCTTGATTTTAATCTGTGATACTTAATTGTTACTCCCTTCGTCCCATATGAAAGAAGAAACAAAACGACGGTATAAAGGGAGTAGTAGGTAATATATTATGGCACATCAAGCACGCCAAACTGTTAACAATATGCACGAAAGTCTACGAACAATGTACCGGTTTCAACAACATTTTCAAAACCTTGAAAGTCTAAACCGCATTTGGTTATTTTTTTAAAAAAGCACTACTCACCAAAGAAGTAACTTTCACATAGATCAATTGAATTTAATAAAACTTCATATCATGCTTGATAAATATTAGTAGTGCAGTGCCTCAAGGAAGTATGCGAATACATTAAAAATGACATGATAGCATCTCACTGTCTAATAGAATGAATAGTTCAATTCTATGGTTCGATAAAAAAATACGTAATACAACTTGATGCCATCTCTATCATGCTTGTTCATTACAAGTAACCACATCATATCTATGTCCCAGCAGAGAAACACCAAACAAACCCATCAGCAAGTTGCTTTCCCGAATTTTAGTAGCTCGTATTACATGCCAACATGCACTACAAGTAAATATGTGCTCTATAATTCTACTCTATGCTCTACAAGGAATCCATTTTTCTGGCTCTAAGAAAGCATGGCCACGGGGACACAATATGGCTGGGCACATGGCACAACAAACTTGACAAGAAAAAGCATGGACACACCAATGACACACCATAACAGTAATGAATATTGATTAATGCAAATTATTGTCTAGCAACAAATTTTCTTTTCTAAGCATATTGAATTTTTTTAATACATTAGAAATCACCTTATATGTTTCCCATAATCAAAAATAAGTTTCAAAATTGAAAACATTTCAAATTAAAACTACTGACGACACTACTGACAACCACTGCCATGGCCGACAAGACTCATGCCTACCACCGCCATCGCTTGTTGCCGCAGCCATCAACCACAAGTGCTCTAAACACTACATGTGGGATCTTAAAAATATGTGCTAATATACATGATCTCCAAATTAGAAAATAGAACACCTGATATGACAAAACTAGAAAAAGGAATGAGACCAAAGCCCACGGGTCTTAGACCAATAGAGTCTTTTCACTTAATTTGAAGGACCAAATGAGACTACCAGTCTGCGACTCGACCAGACTCAGGGACCACTACAGTTCTAACTTCTAACCTTTCTTGGTCTATTCCCAATCTATCCCGGTAGATCTTTTCGGTCCCAATGCTTTGGCTCTTCACTAATTAGAGCAAAAAAAGTATAAATTTGAAATAAAATTCTTCTATATTCATTTCATTATGAAAAGTATAAGATGCCAAACTTATAACCAGACATTGTCCCATCTGTCTCTGAGGTAGTTGACATGTGCCCAATCAAAGACATGGCTTGTTGTGTGTTCGATAAGTGCCTGCCCATGTCCTAGGTGTGTCCGCACAATTGACACTTGGACACTCAGGATAGACTTATAAATTATACCTTTAACTGAGAGGTTATCACCACTCACCAGTACGATAAAAAACTGACTATGACACCAGCTTGAAAAACATTGTTCTTATTCAAAACAAAAGACTATATAGGACTACAGAAGTTCAAGATACTGTGTAATATAAGGGGGCATCTTTTATGCAATTTCAAGCAAACATTAGAGACAAACACAACCCACAGCCTAATCTAAATTTATACAAAAATCACTAATCTCTAAATGTTTGTGAACTACATACACAATCGAACTATGTAAAAGTCATAAATGATTCTATTACTTTTAGGATTCCGAGTTACAAAATTCTTCAAAGATTGCTTGAAAGAAGAGATTAGTACAGCCAAAACCATATTAATTACCGTGAGCCTTACCATATTGTGACTCCACTTCTCCTCATCGTGAACCTGAGAGTGCCAGAAAGCCTTGACCTTCTCCAACGACATCACCGACTTCGCCATGGGATCTAACGAGTGCGTGGAAAGCCAGAGCAATGAGAATAAGTTAGGGTTACGTGACTTCCGAGATGGGTTTTATTACGTAATGTATTTACACGAGATTACGAGTACGAGTATATAAGTGGACCTTGGCCGCCTTGGGCCCGTTTGGTTGGAGGAAGGGGAGGGAAGGACATATTATGGGCTTCTAACTAGATTTTAATCGTGTGGTGTACGATCAGAATAATACACAAATTATATATATTCTTTCCGTCCACCTAATATCTTTTCATTGTGCGTTACGAGGCTTGATGACTTTTCAATTCAATTTAATTGATTATAAGAGTAAAATAATAAAATAAAATTTATATAGTAATAAATTACATGAAAAGTTCTACAAAACTAGAGGTGACAAGACTATATTATTTTATGAAATGACTTGTAAAAATAAGCAAACAAAGTGAGTGAAATTTGACCCCGTAAATAGTGTCCAGGAAGATCTATGGTGGACAGAGGGGGTATATAAATTAGGGGTGGGCAAAAAAACCGAATTAGCATGGTACCGAACTAAACCGTAATGGTACCGTACCGTTTCGTCTATTTTGAAATGGGATGTGTTTTTTTCATCACGGACCGCTTTCAAACAGGACGGGACCGTGATGCAAAATTTAAATACCGGTAATCCCGGATTAAAATTCTATATATTTTGTAAAAATTATATTGGGCATTTAATATCACTAATTCAAAATTTAAGTAGTTTTATTAATTTATCCAAAACCCCTAAATAGCCCATGTTGCTATTCATTCTGGGCTTACTGCACTACGGAGTTAAAATAAATTTACTCCCAAATTACAAATTAGCCTAAAAAATTAAAATAAGGCAAAATTGTAGAAACCAAGCACTCAAGTCTCAAATAGGGCAGAAAGTCAGACACCAAAAGGCACGATTAAAGCTCCTTCTTCAGTTCGAAGGGGCTATCCATCGCGCTAAGTATCCAGAGACCAGAAATCAAAGGGGCTCCTTCTCCGATCCATCGCGCTATCCAAATATCTAGAGACAAGAAATCGAAGGCAGCGATTGAAGCTCCTTCTTCAGTTCTTCTCCGACCCCTACTATTTTTTCTCGTGTTTTTTTCTATCAATTTCTACAAAGGAGCAGCAAGTACACATGGTGAGTTTGTTTTGAGTTTTTATTTTACAATGATTTAGCATATATGGAGTATGAATTTAACTTTTGTTAATGAGTTTTAGTTTACTTGTTTTTTGTTTTGTTAATCAGTGAAAAGAGAGCTAGAATATTAGATTTCTTAACTTTTTTTTATGTCACCTCTTTTTAGGAAAATTTAACGCAGGAAGAAAGAACAGTATCATCCCAGGTGGATTGTGATGTTGCAGCTACCCCAATTGTCTCCTCAAATCTACCAACTGGTCCTGATATTGTGCATGTACAACCTCCAGGTGTGAATCGTGTTTTTAGGTCAGATGTTTGGGATCATTTTTTCCCATATTGGATTAGAAACAAAAAGTATGAGAAAGACATGGAAACTCAAAAGCTTGTGGAGGTCATTACATGGAAAATGAGAGCTAAATGTAAGTACTGTCCAAAGCATCTTGGGGATTATACTTGTGATAGTGGGCCTAATGAAACTGGAGGGCCAAGAAAACATATTTACAATAACCAATGCAAGTATTACTAGCATCACTCCCGTGCGTTGCACGGATCATACTTATATTACTAAATTAAGATCATTTTTAAAGGATATTGGATTACAATTTCTTATCTAATACTTCCTCCGTCCCTGAAACATCTTCCCCTTCCATTTTTTCTTTGTCCCACAAACTCCTTCCTTTTTCTATTAAAAAACTACTTTTACCTCTTACTTTTTCATATCCTACCTATCACATCATACTTTTTTACTAATAATCTATCTATCACATCTTAGTTTTTCTCAATCACATCAAGTGTATTTTTGGAAAGTCAACACCAAAATATCCCTTCCTTAATTTTCCAAAAAGTCAATAAGGGAACTTCTTTCGGGACGGAGGGAGTAGAATATAAAGATTTTATTATTTTAAGGTACAAAAGTTAATTGTTTTACAAATAACGAAAGACTTCTTTATAAACTACATTACTCGTATAATTTTTATATATCAAACTTTAAAACATTTATTTATTTAAAGACTTCTTCATGATTTTCTACTTCGAAAGCATGAATCTTATTTAAGAACTCAAGAGAGTGTAAGTCATTCAAAAAATTTGAAAGAGGCTAATTACGAAAAGTGATTGAGAATGACTGTATTTAAGGTATGAAAAAATTAAAGTATTTTTNTCTTAAAACGATGTCTCCATAAAACGTTTGGGCCTGAATCTCTAAATGGAAACATTATTAAATTGAAAGCTTATTTGGTTAAAATTATTACACGATATAATAACTAAGTACGATAATATTATTACAGGGTATATTATTATTATTATTATTATTATTATTATTACTATTATTATTATTATTATTATTCTTTCACGATAATAAATTAATAATGATTAAATACATTAATTTTATTGCACGGTATATTAGTATTATTATTTTTTCTACACGGTAATACATGATTTATTCTTGCTACAAAGTAATTTATGATTTAATTATTATTTCTATATTCAACACTTAACATATGTGCCACCATTCTTATGTATTACTTTGACATTTTTTATATTTAATTTCTTTTATTATTTTTTATTTTGATATTTTTAATTGTGCCTTCCTTAAATGCATAAACTTATATATTTAAATTTCTTCATAAAATATTTGGCACCGAATCTCTAAATGGAAACATAATTAAATTTAAAGCTTATTTTCTTAACATAATCACACCGTAATAAATTAATAATGATTAAATATGGTAATATTAAGTTTGGTCATGTTCTCTAAATGGAAACATTTTTAAATTGAAAGTTTCTTAGATTAGAATTATTAGACGATAATAATGACTAAGCACGATAATTTTATTACACAGTATATTATTATCATTCTTTTTACATGGTAATAAATTAATAATGATTAAATACGACAATATTGTTACACGATTGATATATTAATGTTATTATTCTTGTTACACGGTAATACATGATCTATTCTTATTACACGGTGATTTATAATTCAATAACCAATGCAAGTATTATGCCGGGAATCTGAGTTTGAAAAAACAGAAAGTGTTAGCTCCAGGTGATTTCAATCAATTGACAACAAGAACTTTCAATCAAAAAGAAACTTTAGAGGCTTGTGTTGAAATGGTAGTTCTTGATGAACTACCATTTAATTTTGTTGAAAAGCAAGGTTTTAAGAGATTTTGTAGTATAGGGATGCCGTTGTTTAAGGTTCCTTCAAGGAGAACACTGGTAAGGACTTTCCTTGATATGTATGGGGACAGAAAGTTGAAATTGAAAGATGAGTTGAAGAATAAGAGGGTTTGTCTCACCACACATACATGGACCTCTGTTCAAAACTATAATTACATGGTCCTGACAGCCCATTTTATAGATAATGATTGGAAAATGCACAAAAGAGTGTTAAACTTTTGTGTCATTACAAATCATCAAGGAATAACCATAGCAAATCTCATTGAACAATGCCTAAGTGATTGGGGGATTGAAAAGGTATTGACAACCAAAGTGGACAATGCTTCTGCCAATCAAACAGCCATAGATCTCTTAAGATCAAAGCTGAATTTGTTCGAAAAAAGTTAAGTTGTTTTGGATGGAGAACACATGCACATGCGTTGTGTTGCCCATATAACAAACTTAATTGTGGGAAGCGGATTGAAAAGGTTGAATTCAAGTATCTTTGCGATTAGAAATGCAGTCAAGTTTGTTAGAAGTTCTCCACAGAGATTTGAGGTGTTCAAGAAAGCTATTGGGAGGGAGAAACTTCCCTTCAAAGGGATGGTGTGTTTAGACATGCCAACAAGATGGAACTCAACCTATGCAATGTTGGAATCCGCATTGCGATTAAAACGAGCTTTCAAGCGGATGGAACAGGATACAACGAGTTCATATCTAGCATATTTCAATGAAGCTGAAGAGGAATTTGATGAAGATGGAAATGTGATTGTGGCAAAGAAAGGGAATAAGAAAGTTGGGCCGCCTCTAGATAAAGATTGGGATAACTATGAGGTCTTTGTGAATTTTATTAGAGTCTTTTATGAAGTGACTCTTAGAGTTAGTGCTTCTCTAAAGCCAGTGGTTCACACTACATTGCATGACATAATTGCAATTAAGCAAGTTATGGCTAATATGTTAGATGTTCCTATTGAAAGTGCAAGTGATACTGATTTATTGATAGTAGAAGTGGGCTTAGCAATGAAGTCTAAGTACAACAAGTACTTTGGTGAGTTTAAAAATCTAAACCCATTAATCATTTTAGGGCTTGTCTTGGATCCAAGGTTCAAGCTAAAACATATAACTCATATCTTGACTGTTGTGATGGTTGGAAAACATATGAAGTGGAAGCCAAGACTACTCAAATCAAGACACTTCTCTTTTCCATGTATGAAGCGTATGACGAAGAAGTTCAAGGCAAGAACCACTTGAAGAGAAAGAGATTAGCTGAAATCACCAATGATCTTGTGAAAAGACAAAAGGCTTCATATAAAGTTGGGAGTAGCACAAGTAAGAATATGTTTGTAGTGGATTGGACTAAATATGTTGAACAAACAGATGAATCTATCATAACTCATGAGGTTGATAAGTATTTAAATGATCCATTGGAAGGTATTGGAAAGAACAAAAATAAGGAAGCGATTAATGATGAGGACAGTGGACTCAATGATGAAGCAGTAGAAAAGGATTATAGAGCATTTGATATTCTTCAATGGTGGAAGCTTGCATCTCATAAGTATCCAATTTTAGCATTCATATCGAGAGAGATATTTGCAATATAAGTTTCAACCGTAGCATCAGAGAGTGCATTTTGTACAGGGGGTAGAGTGATTGATGCGTTTAGAAGTTCACTAACTCCTAGTTCTGTTGAAGCCCTCATATGTATGCAGAATTGGTTAAAGGGAGATGATATAACAACTCATTTTGACGTTGAACCGTGCATAGAAGAGTTGGAGTTTTATGAAGCAATTGAAACAGGTATAACTTTGATTCCAAAAGCATGATACAACTACCTTTTTCTTATTTGGATGTTTACTGTTTTCTACTTTGATTCCTTGGATGTTTACAGAATCAGCAAGTGGAAGGGAAACATACAGTGTCTAGTTGCCTACCATTTGCTACAGTGCCACTCAGTCACTCACTCTCTTGTCGTTTTGTTTTTTAGCAATTATATTTTAGGCTTTAGCATTTATTTTTCGAAGGTTTTGTTGTGCTAAAGCTAGATTATTCTATGAATGGCTGTGAGTTTTTGTTGGCAGTGAATAAGTGTGCCTATGAAATTTATTGAGATTGGCAGTAACTTATATTTTTTGGATTTAGTATGAATATAAGTGACCTATGGATTGACAGTGAGCTTTTTAATTGTTTTCAAGTGTCCATGCCGATTTGAAATCAGTACATTTTTTAAATAAATTTGTGCGCTTTTATACACAATTATACTTTTATTTTAATATTCTTTGAGTAATGCATGTTTAATATTTTGGCACGGTTTGAGCATGGGTATGGTAGTGTACCGTTCCGTTTTCAAACAAAATGGTACCGAATGGTTTTAGGATTCATCCCGTACCGGTACCGAACCGTTTCAATAAGAGCGGTCCGTGATAGGTTCCAACAGTATCACGGACCGTTACAAACCGCGCCCACCCCTAATATAAATAATAAATATGGAGTAATACACAAACACCAAAGCACTATCCATTTGGATAGTAATATCTCTTGTAGTCTTTTTGATAATTTAAAAGTGCATGATATAGATCAAGTAAGAAAATAATGGAATGAACACAATGACCGAAGTGTATCAAATGGCATTGTTGTAACTGCTACATGAAGAACATGTATTTGATTGATGTAATTTTTTAGCACAATGTTGTAAAACATTCATGGAAACAAAGTGCATGTAATGATAGTTTTGTCACTTAATGCGCCTGGTTCAATCGTTTCTTTAATTGATGAACCTTTGGTCAATTTGCTTGAGCTTGCAATGTACTATATTTTCGTTCTTAAATATTTGCCTAATTTTGACTTTTTACAATAAATTATTTTCATTATTTGAACTTTAGTGACATTAAATACATATAGTTTCATTATCTGAACTTTAGTGACATTAAATACATATATTATATTGATTAGATAAATGATATTTTGAAAATATTTTATAAATAAATCTAATAATTGTTTTTTTGTATCAATATCTAATATTACTTTCATTAATTTATGCTCGAAGGTTGCCAATTTTGAATGAAAAAAAGTAAAAAATGGATGAATACTCAGGGACAAAATTAGTCATCAGTATTCTGCTTCTCACTTCTCTTCATGCCACATATTACACCAGACTTGACGATAAGTAATGATAGACGATTTTAATTTGCACGTTCATTTTTCGATCTACATATGCAACAATAATAATTTATATTGAGTGGCAAAGAAGACAAGAAAGAAACACAAAATGTTATGCTCGCATTAATATACTCCTTTTGTCATAAAATAAATGTCTTAGTTATTATTCTGAAATGATAATAATTGCATTTTTAAATATTTCATTCGATCTAATTTAATTTGTCTGTTCACTACTCACATAATAAAATTAATTAAATTAAAAATATTTATAGCCTAAAATCATAAATAAAAATGAACTACTTAAATTAGACAAAATGAGTATAATTTTACAACGACAATAGTGCTACATAGTTGACCCAAATAGTGTACCAAAAATAACTTTATCCAAAAATAGGTTTTCTTTTAAGATGTTATGGGTTATCTGGCCCAAAGGAAAGTAGTCCAATAACATACATATGCGTGTCGGCTAAAGCATTGGTTAGGGGGGTCAATTTTGGATCGGTGAAGGTTTTAAAAACCTTTCCCAATTGGTGAAAGTGGTTCTAAGATAATGGGTCAGATCTAACTTTTGTCAAAACGGTAGACCATTTACCGTTTCATCGGTTACATTTTTAAAATGGTAGATAATCTACCGTGTGGATTTAATTTAATTTTTGTAGTTTAAAAAAATTCTTAATTATTTGTTTTTTGCTGTTTTTAATAATATTTTAAATGTTTTTTTTAGAAATAAAAAGATTTAGTAAATTTAGATCCACGTGCATATATATTTTGATCGATGCAAAATAATCTTATGAAACCGTCAAACATGCTAATACGAAAATAAAAAGTACAATTTATTGTGTTAGGTTGATATTGTATGGTATAGATTTTTTCTTGTGATATGCAATTGATGTGGTTGGGTTAATTGAATGATGTAAGATTTTTTGTTACGTTGGTTTATTGTGTTAGGTAGATAGAATGAAGCATTATTTTTTTCTAATATGTGGATTTATTGGGTTAAGTAAAAAAGTGCAGAAATATTCAACTTAAGATAAAAGGAGAAACTAAACAAAGTACTAAATAATAAAAAAACTGTTAAGACCCGCTAATACGAAAAAACGTAGAAATCACACATAGAAATTTCTAATTTAACTAAGTTTTACGTACTTAAAAAAATTAAATATCCATGTTATTAGAGCTTAAACAAACTATTAAATATTAAAAATCATCAAACTCGCAATTACCAAAATAAAAAGTAAAATAACACATACTAAGTTGTACATATTTAAAAATCACACATAGAAATTTCTAAATTAACTAAGTACCACTACGACGCCTTCGCGGTCGCATATCTATGTTATTAGTGCAACGGGTGGTTATTGGATGACCGGCCCGAGACCTTTTTCCCGTATTTGGTTGCACTAATTCGCAATCAAGATTAGGCCATTCAATTTCATTCGAGAGCGAAATAACATTTCCGGAGTATGCATTTATGTAGCTCTGGAATGAGAATACTGATGGAATGATATTATCAATCGTGATATTACAATAACGACACACGATATAGACGTGACACATGGCATGTGCAATGTGGCCCTTTTCCCACAACCACACATTTTTGCCCCAATCGTACCATTATTTCATCTACTCTACCAGCAGCTCTAGCATTGCCCTGAACAACAAAGTCGATAAATCCCTAGTTACAGATAATGAGGGATAACATGGCAATGCAAACAATTGTCTTCCATATGTCTGACCTCGTCCCAAACATAATTAAGAAACTTAAACCTTGTTTGTTGCCATGTAAAGCTGTCTATCCGCACGTTTGCAAATAATTTGACTAATCTTTCATAGGTTGTCTTCATAATAGCGTATGCCGGAAGAGACTGCCATCCCTTTAACACGTGATTGAAGCTTTCGAAAAGAATTGTAGTTAGGATTCCATACCGAGCCCCACCATCACAGCATACTGCCCACTTCTCTAATTGTAACACCCCAACCCGCGTAACCCGAATCATCGAGTTAACAAACTGAGTTGCTACAAAATTGGCATCCAAACAAAATAATTTTCAAAACCATTTAAAATGTTGAATTCAAAACATTATTTTAATAACCATCGGAGTTAACAAAAACAGTGCAGAAGCTTTAAAGTGCTTAATTCAAAATACAACTTGGGGTTCTTGCCACTAAAAAAATAATAATTTTAAATGCAATAATTAAACTAGATGACTCCTCCATCTAATATCCATCCATCATCTTTGATGGATTTGTGAATCCATAGTTAAAGAAGAAGAGGAAAATGTATGATTAGAGAAGAAGAAGAATGAAGAAGATGAGTGTAATGTATTGAGTCCCCCCCCTCCTCCTCCTCCTAGAAGGAGGAGTATAAATAACGAGAATCAGGGCTAGGGTTCAAGACTAATGGCCCCCCAACAGACTCGGTCGCCCCTAAATAAGTAATTAATATACGACTAACGGGCTGGTCCAATACACTGGGCGGCCCTGACTAATATTATACAAAGACTGCATACCCCATATCCAGGGAATCCACCATGAGTCCCCCACTTCTCGAGCCGAGAGGAACTCGAGGCGAAGTGGAAGTAGAACAATAATCCACCACAGAAGGTGTAACGCCCCGAAAATAGGCCTATCAGAATTAATTATTTAATAATTAATTAATTGCTGGGAAGGACCCAAAAATAAGTAAATTCTAAAGTTTGTCAATAATTAATAAAAATTATATCGTTGTGTAGAGTTTGACTGTCTGACCCCAACGGTTTAATCGGATTTCAATTTGGAGAAAGTTGGACCAAAAAGTATACCCCAACTGGGACCAAAAATAGTCCCAATCAGGGACTACACACCAAACGGCGCCCTGTTCAATTACGCCGATTCCAAAATGCAAATCGCCGCACAATCACGGAAGCAACCAAGCTTGTGTCTTCTTCTTCTCCACTGGCCTATTTAAGCACAACTTAACTCCCTCAATTCCTCACCAAAAACATTCATTCTTCCTCCTATATTGTTCCTTGCTGAGAGTAGAGTGCAGTGGTGCTGTCATCTTTGTGTGAGGTCGCCGGAGCAGTGAGATAGAGTCGCCGGAAGTTTCGTCGGAAAATCGTCAAAACTTCCCTTACGCTTCGAGGTAAGCCCGTAGATATATCTAATGACTAGAATGTTCATATAGGTCGTTTCTACGTTCATAAATGGTTATTTGGTTGAGTTTTGTGTTTGACATGTTTGAAGAACCAAGAATCATAAACCATGAATTTGATGTTAAAAATATGTTTTAATAATTCTAATATGATCTATGAACCTTGGAGAACATCTCTATATAGTTTAATTGAAGTTCGGTGGCTAAAAATGGTTTTCCCGAAAAATGGACCGAGGTTGAAGACGAATGAACAGTGGCTGAACGGATCGATCCCCTTCATTGGATCGATCATCTGGGAGTTTTTCTTCTAGTTTGATCGATCCAGAGGGCTGGATCGATCCTCCAAAACTCTGGTCCGAAAATTTGTCTGAAATTGCTATTTTTGAGCTCTAAAATCCTATTTTTGATACCAATTGATTATGACTATTATAAAAATGATTTTTCACAATAAAAATGATGTTTTTAACAAATTAAAACATTATGTGATGCATGACGGTAAGTCCGGGTGTTAACACTCGAGACTAGGCCGCTATTTGTTATTAAATGCGTGTTAATGATCTTTATGATAGATAATGGATGATTATGAATGATAAACCTACTGATTAGGATTATTATTAATGATTAAATCATTATTAAAATTGAATATAATGATGATCACAAAATCGGTGTGTTGTTAAGGCTATCTCGAAGACCTCTAAGATAGACCTCAAATTAGATTGGGCCTTGCGGGTATAAATATGTATATTCGGTGGCCTTGGGTAAAAACGTACGTACGGGATCCATAAACCAAACTAGAGGAACTCGTTTGGGGATACCACCCAACCCGACAGTTAGTATTCTACTGTTCGGTTTCTTGGATTTGTACCTTAAGCGA